GCTGTTTGAAGTGCAGGAGATTTTCGGCCAGACCAGTTCACTCAGAGTTCATGATGTGTGAATCACTCTTCCTCACCTCTCTCTCAGCCTTTGGCAATGGTAAAATACTGGACAGTATTTTCTTTACGAAACTATTATTATTATTATTATTATTATTATTATTATTATTATTATTATTGTCATTGTATCAGTGATACATGTCACTGGAAGGACTAGCCAAATTATTAAGAATTATTATATATATATATATATATATATATATGAAGTATTTATTAATTGTATAGGTCTACACATGAGTATGATTCTGAAAGCAATTTCAGTTCATTAATATCCATCAATGACATAGCTATATTGTGACATATGTCATCTGTAATACATTTGCAACTGCAATTGCAGAGAATATAAAACCAAATGTGAGTTGAGTCATTACCACAAACAAAAATATAATAAAACACATACTGTTCTAGAGTGATTCATCATTTGTCAACTGCAAAAGGTCAAGTGGGATTTAAGTGGGATTTAATAGCCTTTTAATTAATAAATTAAATTAAAATTAATTAAACTTAATTTCATGTATTTACTTTGGAAAAAATAATCTAAGACAAAAAATCTTTGATTGATGCTATAATCTGGCAACATTTACATTTTGAGGTGGCTTCATAGAAAAGTTTACTTCTGAAACTGACTCCAAGGGCCCCTTTTAAAGGAATAGTTTGATGTTTTGGGAAATACACTTATTTGCTTTCTTTTACACAATTGATCGATACCACTTTCATCTCTACACTAAACACAGTATGAAGCTGTAGCCCAGCAGTCTGTTAGCTACAGTAGCTTAGCATAAAGACTGAAAACAGGGGTATCGAGCTAGTATGGCCAAAAGGTAACAAATTCCAACTAATTGCTACTACTCTCCAGATGCAAACAACATTGAGTGTTTTAAATTAAGAGTACTCTTACAGTCAGATCATTGTGTAAGTCAATTATTTGATTACACAGTAATTTGTCATCACACACTACTAACTAGCTGAAGTTAGTTATTTCTGAGCTGGAGAAGTTATCGTGAAGAAAGTGGATTATCTTACAGAGAATACATTTTTAAGTTACCTTTTAAAAACTCTTTGGTCCCCAGCAGCTGCATGATATTTTCAGAAACATTTTTTTGCTTGGAACAGCACACACCACTGCCTAAAGTGATAGGGTATTAAAACATTATATAGAGCAGCAAAACTAGCAAGTTGAGGAGAACAGGCTTAGTCTGATTAACACGTCTTAACCTTTTGAATTTGATGAAGGTGACGAACCCAAATGCCTAGTTTGTGCACTTCTATGCACAGCAGCTAAATCTCACTTTACAGCAGTTGAGCTCAGCCAAGGCGAGCATCTGGAGGGTGTTTTTAACAGAGCTAACAGCCTTTGCCAGTTCCCTCTTGGGGTCTGCAAAATGAGCTGCAGCCCTCACAGAGGAAACACAAACGTGATGGAAGACTACAAACGAAAGTGTTACTGCAGATTGGGAAAAATGTGCAGTGCTGCTTCACTACTTGGATACAGCAATACATACAGCAAAAAGAGTATGACACCACCATCAGAGCTTTATAAAAAGCACACATTACCATTCCATGCTCATGACAGAGGTGGATGTTTTGAACGTTTTCCTGTTCCACTGATGCAGCTGAAGCTTGCTCTACTGGATCCAATTAAGCTTCAGTTTACAGATATAGCCAACTGCACTTTTTGTCCAGATTTTGTTTTATCCTTTCCTAGCTCAGAGCTGAAAATGAAGACCGTGTTGACCACACTGTGCTGATATTTAAAGCTTCTGAGTTTATCCACATTATGGGACAGCAACAACTCAACACACTGGCCGTTGTAATTACACTGGCCATTTCAACAACTGTAAGCTGTAATTCTCTTGTCATTCATCCATCCAAAGTGGTTGTTTCCCCACCATTTTCCACCTACAAATACCACTGCAATAATGAAACCTTTTCAGAATTCCATGGGATAAACTGACATCAAGCTAAAAGTAACACTACATGTCTTAGTTTTGTCCAACAACAGCAGCTTCCATCTATATCTTTTATTAGTGTGGGACATTTTACATATTTTTTTTATAAACTGAACATGTTATTCGAAAAGAGCGCAATTGCGTCTGACACTATTTGGCTATATATCTGCACATTTTTGTGTGTGCATGTGTGTATGTGTGTGTTTGTAAGTGTTGTGGGGGAAGTGTGATGTAACTGTTTTCCTGTGCGTTTCCTGTTTCCCTGTTTACACTATGTGTGGGCATTATTGCAGTGCATGTTGCCAAGCTACTGAGCCTTTGGGATTGAAGAGCAGACAGTGTTCAGTTTGCTGAAAAAACTCACCAGATAATAAGAGTCAAAAATAAACAACTGAAGAAAATTTTATTAAGCAAAAAAGGATATATATGCACAGCTGAGAAAATATGGCATTGTGTGAGTGAACTTAAAGCAATGAAACCAATTTTGACAGGTGCTTTCAGTTGGGATAACAACTAGTATCCAGGGTAAAATCGGTGACAACAGCTGGCTTTGAAGATGATAAATATGTTGGAAAATGGGGAGGAAAAATATCTGTGATTGGTGCTGTCAAAACCACCCAGCAGATCATGGCTTACACATCTCCTGAACCCATACCCTATCTTTTCCCTCTCCTGTGGTTTGACAGTTGCTCTAGCCAAGAGCATCCATTTAAAGGCATGAGAGGTGGTCTGAGGCGGTGATCTGTTTTAAGTACCTGCACTAATCCTTCCACTCCAGGTCAATATCCAGACAGTCCCTGAAAGCTAGCAAAAAGACCTTGTTAATGCAGCCAGACACAGCACATATAACCGGTACTGCAACACACTCACAAATCTAAAAATAGAAATCTTCAGAAGTGTTTGGAGAGCAATTGGAAAGTATCAATACAGAATAGAAAAGAACATGTAGCCTATTATGTGGAGAATCTCAGTTCATTAAGAGAAATGTTTCTCGGCTGAGCACTCAAGATTTTATATAGACAATAACAACATTATTATTCCAAATAACACATTGGAATCAAAGTTCCACCATTAATTTGAACAGACTGTTGTTATTGCATGTGGATCTATTATATCCTTCTTTTGGGGCATGATGTAAGAGAAAACAATCTCTTTGAGGAGATGCTAGGAAAACACAGAGGTTATTGATCGCATAAGGTCAATGTAGGTGATAACATGCAGCAAAGGCTCATGGGTTGGAATTAAACCCGGGCCACTGTGGTCAGGATTCAAACTTGATACATGGGGCACACGCTCTACCAGGTGAGCTACCAAGGCATCATTAAGAGTCTTTAAGTAATTTATCATTCTTTAGCGTTAGGTTTTTTGGCTTTTGTTTCATTATAACAAAACAAGCAATATGAAGATCAGAGGTACCCTTGGGCTCTGTAAAACTGACATTATATAGACCGGACTATGAATCTATTTTTTTTTTTTTTTTTAATTATTGACAAAAAAATAATAGTTAGTAGCGGCCCTAATCAAAACATGTGTAGAGTCTGTAGAGTGGTATGGAAATGGGATAGAACTGATGACTATAAAGTGCTCACCATAGCTGATTTCTCTGAAAACTAATACCCTCTGCCACGCCTAATTTTCTTGGTGCTGGGCAGCCTGACAGAAAATTACACGATCCATCCCAACTCTCCTTATCCTCTCAACGTTTCCTCCTCCATGATACCTACTGCACAGACTTTATGTTCATTCCTACGAAGCCATCTGCTCACTCACAGATAAACCCACCACTCAAGCATCTGGCCAACACAGCAATGTGGCTGTACAAAAAACTGAATATCAGCTTCTTTATGATATACATGTTATGATAAATTTATGTTACACAATGTACCCAAAATGTAACATGTATGCAAATGTGTTCAATTTAATCACGATAAAAATATTACAATGCAGTTCTAATACAAGATGTGTAGCCAAGGGCCTGCTCCACTATTATGCCTGTTTGAAACTGGTGTTTGAAGTCACATTGTGGAACAATGTTGTCAATATTTTGCCCTAATGTCAGGGTCTTGCCATGTACTGTAAAATAATTTAAAAATACTGTAACATTGCATGAGCAACAATGTTATACAAAACGTGAACATGAGCAATTACAACAACATAATTGGCTTAGATGATTTTGGTGCTAATACCCCACAAGCTCTGAATGCTGAGGTCTGTCATCCAGAAACCACCAGACAGAGATACTCATACATGCATTCCACAAACCTATACAGACATAGAGCCATGCACACATGGAGTTTCTCCCTCCACTGTGCCTCCAGAGAAACTAGGTGCAGACCATTTGCTTCATACTCAGAGCACGCTGTTCATTTTTTCGCCTTTTAATACTGCATGCAGAGGCACTGAATCAATGCAATCAGAGGAGACAGCCCCAGTGGTCAGACAGGCACACATCAGAAGACTTGTAATCAGGATAGGTACTTACACAAACAAGATCACACACACTTGTAAAGAGGCACACACACACACACACACACACACATGAATGTGCAGATGTGTTTGCACAGTATATTTGCACACACATACGCACACAAATGCGAGCACATAAAAGATGAAAACACACCCTCATAAAAAGCAGGATATTGGAAGCAGCTGTGAAAAATGATCAAGGGACGACATCAATAACAGGATGGCTCTTACAACACAGGAGGCAGCTGCATCTTAATTGGACATGCAACTCATTAGAACTGCCAGAGGTGGACTCTGTCTCTGTGTACTGAGGACCCGTCCAGACAGAGAAATGCACAGTGGATATAAGAAGCTGGGTGGGTCACAATAACGAAAGAGAAACAGATGAATTGCTGCTGACCATCCTGGAAATGAATGCGAGAACGCACTCTTCTGTTGCAGTTTGATAAATTATCCACACTGCATCTCCTCAAAACTATTTTTCCAAATTTTTAACACTCTGATTGCATTTTGTGTTCCTCAACAGCCACCATTCAGCACCAACCCAGCAATATCTCTTGGGCACTTGTTTGAGCAGCAAAAGTTGTCGGTTCTCAATTTGTTCAATGCTTCAGTTTATCCCAGCTTTGTTTATTTCTTTCTTGGACATATTTAATTTTCCTACCGTCTAGGTGTTCTGTAAAAAAAAGAAAAGATTATTATTTTATTTTTAAATTTTTTATTTTATTTGTATCAAAAACAAACTCTCAGCAGACGCCAGCTCAGTCTGAAAGCTGCCATTTTATGGAAGTGGATGAACATACCTCCCCAAAATTAGGCTCCATGTAAACATAGCTACTTTAGCTCATGTTACACAGCTGTTCCGATTAAATGCATTGCCGCATGTAGACACCAGATCATATTAGATCACATCCCATTTAAACAGCTAACCCCCATTTAAATCAGAATGAAAAAAAGCCTGCATGTAAGCTGAGCTAGTGATTCCCCGACCCACGTGTCCACTAGAGAAGTCTACAACTACTTTTTATTAGTTCTACCTCTTCATGTCCTACATTGTTTTCGCAATTGCTGCACGGATGACAGGATGCAGCTTGCCATGTCATTACATATCTGGCTTAAGCCACAACTAGAAACTAGAGTGAAGTGAATTCAAAGGGGTCAAACTAGGCTGGGGATCTTGTTAGATGATGGAAGATGACCCGACCTCAGAGGACCTAGAGACTGTACAATGCCCTCGTATGTGGCTCCTCAATATCAGACCAGTTCTTGAAAAGTTGATATAAGATGTAGACAGAATAGGTATTGTGTGAGTAGTAGAGCGGAGTATACGACTTTCTGAGCAAGGACAGACATTTTTTCTTCTTTCTTCCCCTTTCATTTTCATTTTCAGAAGTAGTGCAAGTTTCGTGTATTTTCTGTGTGAATTTACATAAACCTGTAAAAGAACCTTAAACTAATGGCGTTTAGGTACATAAAAATAAGCATTATGACGTGAAAGGGTTATACTTCAAATTATTCTTTAATGAGCTGAGCCTGCCAACTACAATCAGATATAACCAATGGATTTACCACAGCCATGCATCATTAATGGATCCCACCTCAGGCTATTAAGGCTCTCCGAGAAAATGATAAGCTTTAGGCCACATCCAAACGTCATTTGAGTCTCTCTGTGATTAGGAGAATCTTCACCGGTTAGAGAATGGAGCTGTCAGAAAGGAAATATAGCCAGTACCCCTCAACCTCCGTATCAGATATGCACAAAAGAGTACATGGCCATCTACAGTCCTTTACAAAGAAATTCATAGCTATAAAAAACTTCCCCTTGAATTGGCAGTCATTGTCTCAACTCTCCATCCTCAGGCTATTCTGCAGAGGCTCTGGTGCAGCTGCCTTTATCAGAGCAGCCCCCTAATCAGTAACCGAATTCTCCCTTAGCAATCAAGTCCAAGTTCTGGTGGTGAAATCAGCAGAAATAAAACACAGCTGAAGATAATGAAGGTGTGAGCAAGAGAATTAAAGACAAGAGTGTGAAAGAAAAAGGCAAGGAAGGAGGAGGCAGAGCAGGAACAGTCCACTAATTAGACACACCTCTGAAACCTGTTAAGGTACAAGCTGAAATGACCTTCTCCTGTTGAGATCGCCCCCTTTTTCGTCACTGAATAAACAAATGAATGGTAAACTGAAATATGCCTATATATCCATTATTCATGTGTGTGTGTGTATTCTGTCTAATAGTCTAATCTATTTATTCTATTCTGCATTGCAGCAAAACTAAAGCCAATAAATAAACCATGAAATAGATGTGAATCATTGTCAAAATAAAAACAAAAATACATGAATGGCTGACATGTTAGAGCAAGCGCTGACAATCTTTCAGTGATTTTGTTGAATCAAAAAGATATCAACATATCAAAAGGCCTTTGATGAAGCCCTGCAGCTGTGGCCTCTTCAACTCAGATTCATTTTGGTCATCATTTAATTAAATCTGGTAGTGCAGTAACCACTGCTAACACACTTTCATGTGTCTACATGCTAATGATCCTTTATATGCACATAACCCTTAAGTTCACAGAAGACCTGCTGAACTGGACCGAGTGTCATAAGGATCAACATGCTTCAGGAAAATGACAGTCCCATTTAAAGTGGGTGGTATCTAAAGTTTTAACAGGTAAAAAAAAGAGATCTGACAGCAGAACTGGAGGCGGTGTCAGTGTCCCCACTGGTTTTCAAAAGGGTTATAGAATTTGACATGTAATGGATGTGAGCCTGACTACTTCTGGCATTGCACTGGGCTCGATGATCACGATGTGAAGAAAATGAAGAGCGGAGGAAGGAGACTGAGCTGAAAAGCCATAGAGAAGCTTGGACAGACTCAGATGTACAAATTTGGAAACATTATTTTACAACATTTCTCCAAATCATAAGAGTGGAATGGGGGGGGTGACTATTAACTTTTCTGTCTGACAACACACTCAGATTCACAGTGAACACATTATGTAGCCATACATATTGTAAAATCAGGTAATTTAAGTAGCTCATGTGTCACGTGTACCTCAACTTGGTCCTTGATTATGTCAGTAAAATGTACGGCTATGTGCAACCAGTTACCCACTGCAGGATCAAACCTATTAATTTAGAATACCAATCACAATTTCAGCTTGAATATATATCAAATTTAGATCAAGTTTAATTGTATAACTTACTGTTTTATCACATCCTCTCAGTCATACACACTGAATAATGATAAAACCTAGTAGTATGTATATTTAGTTAGAGTTCTATGACTGAAATATTGCAGGAATAAACTACAGGACCCACTAGGAAATACAGCGTGTGATCTTTCAACATTTCAAAAGGGAGACTTTCTCTCCTAATCTGGTTCTTTACGATAAAAGGGTTTGTAGAAGATTTTCAGCAGTAAAAGGTTTCTTAGAAGTTAGAGGTTCTGCTGGAGCTCTCTCTTTCTGTAGGAGCTGAGTGGAACTCTTTTTTTTCTGACAATGCATGACTGTTCTGCAGTCATTTGAGGTCAGCCGATAGCCATTACACTGAAATATAAGGTACAACAGAGAGAAGAGCACCAGGAATTCTATTTATAATGGGGCAGTCTGGCACTGATGTATTAATAATTTCCAAATTAATCCAGTTATGTTCCATAACTCCATATTAAATGGCATGATAGGATTACAGCAGTAATTCCAGGGGGCTTCTTATTTTTATAAGTGATATATTACAGTCGGTGGGATTTAAAATACACTTGCAGCATATAAAACATTAAAAATCTCTTCCTCTATCCCTCTCTTCCTCATTCATCCTTCATCTCTCTTTCACAGTCTCTTCCAGTCACACAGTTATATAATCTTAGTTTTCTTATTCATCTCAGCCAACACTGACTCGGCCACTAGCTCAGAATACTAAGTCAAAGCTGAGTCATATAACCAGGGTCCTGTCTTATCTCTAATAGTGAGAGAATCACACATAGAGAGTGTGTATGTCTCTATTAGTGTACGTTTGTGTTCTTGTATGCAGGACCATGTGTGTGTGATCTCATTGATTAGTCCAAATCTACTCATCTTTGCAAATGAAAAGCCTGTACTTGGGCTGATGTGTCATGCAGCCAGCACTGTTAACACAGTAGCAGCAGCATTGCTCAAATGCTCATATGTATGCAAATCACAGCAGTTCTATTCTCCCGGGTGGACAGCAGTGTTTGGGCTGATAAAACCTGGAGAATCCTGCTTGCTGCACAGCAGGATGGCAGCCGCAATCCAAAGCCACCTCAAAGGAATGGAAGGTAATTACCTGAAAACAAAAAAAATGCTAGGAAGGTATGGACCATGGACCGGGAGGCTGGGAATACAAAAGAACAATAGGCAAAATGGTGGTCACTATTAATAGAAATGTCATCTAAAGCCACAATCAGAGGTAGCTATTGAGTCCTATTTCACCTGGAATACCCACTTAGCCATGGCTGAACTCACTGTGGACACTATCACAGAGGAGGCAGTAAGAGGGCTTCAGCTGTAAGGGGTAAACACATCGATGGAAAAAGAAACATGTTTTCTGACAGTCAGTCCTGAATCTGAACCACCTCATATTTATTTAAAGGCCGACAGACAAGTAGAACCTGTATTTGGGCCACAGGGGCAGTTGGGATTTCAGAGCTTTGCTGAAGGGCATTTGTTGTGGTTACAAAACTGGGTTACTTATTAATTTACTCTAAACACACTGAACATGAGAAAAAATAAGCTATTTTTGCCTTCAAACTAAAATATCCTTTTGATTAGGAGGTGCAACTAGGATTTATTTTCTTAATCAATCAATCTGCAGATATCCCAATTAATCATTTTGCCTAAAAATAACTGTGTGAAATTTTTTTACCGTACTATCATGTATGACAAAGAAAAGACTTAAAGAGAGTAAAGTATATGGACACATGACAAGACAATTAATCAATTATCAAATATATTGGCGTTTGATTTCTTGTTGATCAACTATAAAGCCTTCCACGTGTGTTCTCCAACTTTGACAATTTAAAAGGAATAGTTTTGGGAAATCCCCTTGTTTTAGATCAGTAAATTGATACCACTCTCTTGTCTGTACGGTAATTAACTTAGGAGTATACACACTGGAAATTAGGGATGAACTACATGGATATTTTTTCAGCTGATAATAACTGATAATTACTTGCTTCTCGTGGCCAATTAGATAGCCATTAGATGAATTCACATGTTTGTATTTTAAAAATAAGTTCATAACCTGTAGTTTATGCACACTAGATGGCAAGAAAAGCAATGATGCAGAGGGCAAAGATGGATGATTCAATATTGCACTGCTGTTATCTAACCAAATCTAACGTCACTACAAACAACACTTCGGACTCCTTAAATGTTAATTTATTTTGTCTAGTAAAATACATTAAAAAAACTAGTAACTAAAATACTTTAACCTTTAACAAAAAAACACAAGCATACTTCGGCTTTCATGGCTAATAAAGCTAATAATTTGCTTATTAGAATAATAAATAATATAAATTTGCCATTATTGGCTGATAATTCATCTGCCATAGTAATTATTGTGTATCCCTACTGGAGACAGGGGAAACAGCTAGCCTGCCTTTGTCAAAGGCTAACAACGTCTGCCTCCTGGCATCTCTAAAGCTCACTGATTAACAAAGTTGTATCTTGTTTGATTAATTGGCACAAAAAAAGTGTAACAATTGTGGTTTTATGAGTGGTTGTGTACCAGACTACTTCTTGGTAAGGAGCAATGACTTCCTCTAGATCACTGTTTGAGAAGACTCATTCTTTAGAAAAAATGAATGTTTTGTCAGACAGAAATAATTGTAACACCTTGTGACCAACAATTACAGTAGGAACTTCATCAGCTGCATTACAGAAAGTAAAAGCAAAGAGAAATGAGAGAGAAAGTGGGAAGGACATACAGAGAGAGATGATATAACCAAGTGAGAAGTCGGGAGAGTCATGCTCTGCCTAGATTAGCACCACTGTGTTTAGCTTGAGGTCCTCTACTCCCACACTCTCCCTCTCTTGTGCTCTGCCTCTTTTCCTCCATCCCACCCTTCCTGCATTCACCCATCTATCAATCATCAATCATTCATTCAGCTATCCATCAATCCATCATTCATTTGTCCACATCTGTCCACATCTGTCCAACCCTCCAGCCAAAACTCTCCAATCGGACCACTCAGCCAGAGAAGAAGCACTGGCATCAGCACCACCAGTCTGAGCCACCTGTTCTCCCCTTGCTGAAATCCCCCTCTCCTGTTACATAAAGAGACACTTGCACTGTTGCAATGCAGCATCAGACGCTGTTGTGCAACAGCATTAAAAATACCTCAGGGTCAGTGAGGAGGGAAGTTGAAAACAGGATATCAACAGAGTTATTTAGATGGAGAGAATACAAAAACTGAGTCGTGAGCGTTGGCCTGTCACTTGAAGGTGAGAGTACACCATTCAGCCTGTGCTTTATATGTTTTGTGCCTTTGTAAAGCTGAGAGCAATCGATGACCAACTTTCTAAAGAGAACATTTTTTTCAATCATGCCTTCTCTAAATATATTCAACAATAGCTATCTTTGGGTGTGTCCATGCAGTGTCATTATGAAGCCGACATGACTCTTCACATACAAATGTATAAAGTCACATACATTTAACATGAAGGAATTATTAGCTACTGCTGTGTCTCTGGCTGAAAACTAATGTGTGCATCACTACCATCAACTCCCGTCCCTCTTAAATTAATGACTGCACATTTCCATTTGCAGCAGCGATAATGTGCCTTAGCTATTGTTAAAAACAACTCAAATCCTAAACATATCCCCTCATAGCTAGGCACAATGTAACACTGAGTCTTAAGTCTGTTGTCAGTTTTGCAAATACTCTCCTTAATTCCATACAGAAAGCCACACTAATGCTTCTGCTGCCGTTGGAGGTAGGGCAGCAGCTTAGGTTGTAATAATACTGGCAACAATTGAATAGGAACCACCACACTCTGCCTAAACTCCCCTCAGCCAAATTAAGCCCAGCTCAAATATTAACAGCTTTCAAAATTCCATTATACCATCATCGTATTTTGTCAACAACTGGAACTATTTGGAGTTAAATTTCACCGCAAAATGAGACCAAACCCTTTTGCACCAAACTCAAAACTCAAACTCATTACA